CCAGCGCAGGGGAAAACTGACTCCCCCCGCCCCTCACTCCCCACCCGCAGCCCCTGCTAGCCCAGCCCTGAGCTCCCCACATGTAGCTCTGCTCCACCCCGCCCCTCAATCCTCACCCACAGCCCCCTGCTCTCCCAGCCCTGGGCTCCCCACCTGCAGCCCCCTGCTAGCCTAGCCCTGGGCTCCCCATGCTCAGCCCTGCCCCGCCCCTCGCTCCCCACCTGGAGCCCCCTGCTCTCCCAGCCCTGGGCTCCCCACATGCAGCTCCGCCCCGCCCCTCACTCCTGACCTGCAGTCCTTGCTCGCCCAGCCCTAGCCTCTTGTGTGGTTGTGGGGTTTTTTCTGTTTGTTTAGATCCAAGGGAAACCAGAACGCTCAAGAGACTTAACCATTTTCTCATTTATTGCAAGCTCTAAACAGTTAACATGGTCATTTAAGTTTTACAAGCCTTCTAAACAATTACTGTACAAAATACTGAAGGGTTAAAATCTAAAGCAATTAATACAGTGCAAAAGCAGGTCATAGAAGATTATTCTAATACAATCACTGAGCCTAGTTCACTTACACTTCACCCGTATGCCACCTGCAGTCCCAGGCAGGAGGGCGTGGTCCCTCCGACTCCCACGGGTCGGATCGCCAGGCGCTGGGATCCCTTGTTACATTGCAAGCAGGCCCTGTGGTTATTCCCTCCCCCGATTATCTTCTCTACCCCTCTATTTATAGCCAAGCGAGACTCGGTCGTTCTAGTCGTATCTACCAATCCGCTACGTTTTGCGTAAAGTGCCGATGGTGCCGGGAGCGAGGGTACATTTGGCTGTGCCAAAATATTGCAAAAGTGCTTCATTCATTCATAGTTTTTCTGGCTGTCTCTTGAATTTGTCTCTTATCAAACGATGGGCGGTACCCGTCCCAGGTGCTTCTGGTCTCTCTGTCCTGTACAGATGCTGCATAATTGGGCAGCTCTCCTGACTCCCCCCACCCTGCCTGGCCTGGCCTGGCCTGCGTTGGTGCCCAAGCTTGAATCAGACCTAGGGTGGTGTTAGATCCATATGCTGGACGAGGCCGGGACGAGGCCTAGCACTGCAGACGTTGTTGTTCTGGTCACGGGAGGGCGTCCGGGTTCCCCTACAGGCTCCTCCCGCAGCTCCGCCCCGCCCCTCACTCCCCACCCGCAGCCCCTGCCAGCCCAGCCCTGGGCTCCCCCAGCCCTGCCGGTGCCCCTCACTCCCCACCCGCAGCCCCTCCCACCCCAGC